AATAGAGTTCCTGTGTTTCTTAATAAAAATCATTTCTCTTTTTTTAAAATTACTTTCATTATGTAAAATCGTCACACAAATTTCGAGCAGAATTTCTTCTAACATATTTGTACTTAATTACAAATATATTATCAAATTAGAAAGAATTATTATCAGAAATAAAAATACGAGCGTTAATAAAATATAAGTTTAGTAAACTGCGTTACTTGTCTGTAAGTAAAATGTTCTTTTGTTCTAGAATTTCTTATTTTTTTATTCAAATGTGTCGAATAATAATAAAATTAAATTATAAATTTTTTTATTTGTTATTACTTTATTAAGTAAGTTATTACTTAAGTATAATAACAAATAAAAATTTTAATATAAATACATATTTGTATAATATAATTTATATATATAATATAAATTTATACATATAAATTATATTTTGCAAATATAGTAATGATTATAAAGCAATAACAAATAAAGAAATATAAATATACATATTGTACATATATTTCTAAATATATGTAATATTTACATATATTTCTAAACATATATTTACATGAATATTTTTTCATGTGGAAATGTTAAATCGATTATTGCGTTGTGAGATTAATAGAGTTATGTTATAAAAAAAATTTATTAAAAAATATATTTTTGCAACTTGAGGATTGGAGAGCACAAAAATAAAAAAGGCATATCATGTTTTAAATGAATATGAAATTGACCGTTCAAATCTTTAAGAAAGAAGTCAGTGTAGTTTTATATTTTGCATTTACTATATATGTTTCTGAGCAATTTAATCATTTGAAAGAAACTGTTTTCATTAGTTCAATATTTAATTTTCGATTTATTGAATATCAGATCAATGTTTTGTAAAATGAAAGAGTGTATAATATGGCACTTATAAATGAAAATTTTAAATTAATATATACACAAAATATAATTATGGTGTTTAAGCCACAATTTCCACAGTAAAACGCCTGTAACATATGCTACACCACCAGACAAGACTGCGCGCGAAAGTACTCGCGGAAAATTTTCCCGTCCGTAAAGTCGTGCACTCGTTCGTACCTTTGCCGCTACGCGGCGTTTTTTCTCGCAGTTAGAATTCCGCTGAGTGAGGATATAAGGCCACGCGCTGCGAGGCGGAAATATTTGTGAATATATATTTGTATACGTATATATACATATATATACGTAGTGCGAGTGTCCCTAATTTATTATTGGATACTCTGTTATTAGGAGAGATCCTATTGTGGGGATTACTTGCGAGACAATTTTTGCTCAATAAATGACTTCGAGAGTAGATATTTGAAGCTGTGTAAAACTTTCAAAATTTAAATTCTTATTTTGCGAAACAAACTTGTTTAAAATTGGTCTATTTTTTGGACAATTTCTTGAATTATTTTAATACGTGTATTTTATACGAAAATTATACTGAATTCTGATCATTACTTTTATATTTGATTGTGGTAACTTTTAGGTATATACTGTCAGTACTCTCGATTTTAATACATTTGTCAGAAGTGTATCAAAGTTATTTTATGAATATTGAGAGAATTTTAGTGAAGATATAATATAATGTATAGGACTAGCAGCAATGTGTGTCTCTTTTGATTTATAAGAAAATATCTCAAATGAATAGAAAACTACTTTTAAAATATCATTCAGGGTAATAAAAATTTTTATTGAAAAATATAATTAAAAGGAAAATAATATTGTGTTATAAGCAATAAGAATAATAGTAATGTTATAATATATTAATTTGTTGTAAAATATTAATAATCCTCACAATCAATTGTTGATCGCCAGTGATAAATTTTTACAAATAATAAGATGCCATTTAATTTGACCAAAAACTGGCTATTCATTTATTGAAAATAAGTACACACTACGTTTCGACCCACATTGTGGTCTCCTTTTCAAGTGCTAGAATACAAAAATACATAATTTGGCAAGCGAAACTAACATTACATTAACAATAAATTTGATCTGTAATACATACTTATTCTTATTCAGCAATTACATAATTAAAAATAGAAACACGAAAGTTGTCCTGTCATATCGACAAGTTAGCTACTGTAGACTGGTATTATGTTTTTTAAATCATTTGAATAATGTTGTCATAAATAGGACTAAGGTTATCAGTGTCTATTTGTAAATTAATTTTATTTGTTTGTCTTTTTATATAGAACATTTTAGCGATCTCTCTTTTTCGTCTATTTTTCTCGGTATGTAAAATATTGATGATTCAAGCCATCGGAAGTCATGATTGCAATCGGTTTTATGTTTACTGACCACCGAGTGGCTTGTTTCATGTCTTTATATTATTCTGATGTTCTTTTACTCTAGTAATCAAATGTCTTTTTGTTTGTCCTATATACGACGCGTCACAATCATTACATTCTAGTCTGTATACTACATTCGTTTTGTTCATTTTCGGTAATACATCTTTACCGCGTTTAATTTTTTTGGAATCTTTTATAAATTATTTTTAATTCTTTTTTCTTTAGAGTTTTAGAAATGTTATCAGTCAGATTATTGATATACGGTAACATAATATGAAAAGACGTCAAATTTTTTATTGTTATTTTCATCTTTCTTGTCAAAACTATTATTAATATTATTAATTACATGTAATCTTTTTTTAATTTGTTTTTTAATAACATGAGATGGAAAATTATTATTGGTTAGAATATCTTTAATAATTTGAATATTGTCACTATAAAATTTATTGTCAGACAATAGAATGGCTCTATCGACCAAGTTGTTAATGCAATTAATTTTATATTTGAGTGGAAAAGAAAATTGATATATCTTCCCGAAAAAGTGGGCTTCCTATACCAATTAGTGATTAGACTCCTATCATTACATCTGATAATACTTGTGTCAAGAAAGTTTAAACAATTGTCTTTTTCAATTTCATAAGTAAATTTTAGGCGATGGTGGTACGCATTAAAAACTGATAACATTTCATTAACCTTAGAGCGTGGTAAAATCGTGAAGATGTCGTCAACGTATCTATAGTACACCGGTACATTAAAAGTCAATGAATTTAAACAAAAGGTTTCTAAATCGTCCATGACAATATCTGCCAAAATTGGTGACAATGGAGAACCCATCAGGCTGCCGAAAACTTGTTCATAAAAGTGGCCATTAAAACTAAATATGGAATCTAATATAGTTTCTATTGCGAATGTAAGCTGTGACAAATTCAATGTGGTATTCTGTGAGATTGTGTTCCATCTCTTTTTAATGGTTTCAATTACAAGTTCTTTAGGGATGTTGGTGTATAATGATGTTACATCTAATGAAACTAAAACTTTGTCGTCATTAATGATCATATTTTTTATTTTTTTTGCAAATGACCAACCGTCTTTTATATGCGATTTCGGTTTTTCTATAGTATTGTGTAGAATTTTATGTATGTACTGTGCAATATTGTATACAGGACTGCCAAGTGCAGATACAATAATTAGGAGAGGAACGCCAGTTTTATGTATCTTCGGCAGCCCGTAGCATTGAGGGAGATTTCTATTTGTATTATTTAATACCTTATACGTTGATTTGTCAATTACATTGTTATCGCGCCAAAATTTTACCAAAGAATTAATTTTATTTGTTAATTTTTTAATAGGATTTTTGTTTAATTTTTTATAAGTGGTTCGATCATCCAACAAGGAGCTCATTTTTAAAAGGTAGTCACTTTTGTTCATTATTACTATGGCTTGCCCTTTATCCGTTTTTAGTTATTAATAAATTTTGGTTGATACGTATGAAGTTTTTGCAATTAGCCTTTTAAGGTTGATTACGATAGTGACAGCAAAAAGAGAGAAAGAAAACAAAAAGTTTATTAATATATAAAATAAAAATATATATTTTAAATTTTCCCCCCTTACATGTGACTCCTTGATGTGGGCAATATAATCACTTTCTGTTATGTAAATTTCTAATTTACTGGGTTTATTTATTGCTCGCACATTCTATCAAAGATTTTACTTCGCCATAACTCAATAATATTTCAACCTGAGGGATTTTAATTTTACTTTATTTAACTTCTTTTTCATTCATCTAACTTAGAGAAAGACGGTTCACCTTGGTTAGCGGTTCAGAGTCGGTTTGTTCTCTTAAGTGAATCGGTTCTTTTACACGATTCATCGGTTCTTTTACACGATTCATCGGTTCTTTATAAATAATTATTCTTTATCTTTTTTCAATTTATTCTCGTACAAAAAATTTTTTATATTTGCTTGTTTAAGCTTAATATAAATCATGAATGTTTAGGAAATACAAAAAAATTTTTTTCTTTATTATATATATATTTTTATTATTATTAATATATTAATTATAATAATTTAACATTATGTTGCACAACTAAAATTTGATTAATTTTTTTGTTGTTAATCGGCTTCTTTTTTCATTACAAATTTGTCCCGCTTTAAAAAATATTTTTTTACATGGGACCGAAGTTGCAGGGATGCAGAGCCTTTTGAGCATTATTTTATATAAATTTGGGTATAGATTTTTTCTTGCTTCCCACCAAATTAGAGGATCGTTTGTCCTGGTAATGTGGAGTTCGGCCAAATATTTGTCTAACTCTATAATTGCTGCAGTAGAGGGATTGTGCATTCCTTGAAGGTGGCTTATTGTGATATCAAATTCTTCCCAAACTGAGATTGTCGAAGATGTCGTCAAAAGAGGTTGGACTGGTTGGGAATGTTGGGACAAAGGCCCGTATTCATAGTCGAGTCTCAAATTAACACATAAGATGATTATGATCAAGTCTATTTTATTCAATCTAGATTGTCTTAAGATTAATAGATTTCATAATCGTCATAGATTTCATAGTCGTGAAATAAGACAATCTTCGTGAAGAAGTTAACACTCAAGTAAATCTTATTTAATTAATTTGAGACTGACTTGATGAAGACATACTTAAGCCTGTGCTTATTTTCGCGCGCGCGAATCGGCTATTTTCGTAATATTACTATTATTTCTCCAATAGGAACATAGCATTTCCTCCAATAGAAACATTGCATCGGAAACACATATGATACATGCAGACATGCAATATACGTATTCTTGTGTGCTGTTATCTTGCGTTCGTACGGATGTGTTTCATCGCTTCAATTTTCAATCTTCATTGAAAAAAATCATCGAGAAATATACAGGTTTGAAATATTTGTAATTAATGAACGACGATATTTGAATCTTATTGAGTAAAATTAAACTTTAGTAGATATTAAATATATATTTTTTACAGAATGTCTTGCAAAGAGAAGCCTACAAGCAAAAACAAACACTATTTATTGATGGAAAGGAAATTATTCTTACAAATACTAGAAAAACATGTAATAGAAATAAAAAAAAAGCGACGGCACAACATTAAAAGATAAAGACCTTGCATGGAGTGAAGTATGTAAAGAATACAATCAATCGGCACTAATCTCTCAAGAAGTAAGAACTTTATATTTTTGATTATGCGAAGGGCCTAATATAGCAGATAATAATATACGCTTTATTATATTACACAATATTTTGATTATAGAGAACTTCAACAATTGAAAAAATTGTGGCCAAATCTAAAGCAGTCGCAGAGAGATGTATTAACTAAAGAAAAACAATCGCGTTTAGCAACTGGTGGAGGACCAGAAGAAACTGAAGCAAAAATTGATCCTGATGTATTTAATATAGCACTACATCTAATGGAAAATGCACCAGTATTATTTACATCAAATATGACAGATTTAGAGATTGAAGGTACATCTACAATTAACTATTATTAACCTAATTTAATGTGACCTCTGAATTTTTTGCAATATAATTATTGAATATTTTCTAATATTAATGTTTCATTCTTATTGCTTCTTGTTTTTATTTTTATTTTATTAACTTCTATTTATTTCAGAAAAGCGTGAACTTACATTTGACATAGTATCTACAAATGAAAATTTAGATACATTAGACCCCACAAACAATAATGAAGATCTTATAAGTGATGAGAGCGACAAAAAATATTGATTCACAAGGTATTTATTATTAATCATATTAATAATAATATTATGTCCACTATATTGATCTGTAAAATAAATTTAAAAAAAACATGTTATCTTAATTTTTTGTAAAAGATATATATCATTTTTAATACATTATTTACTGAAGATATTTTTCATTTTTACTTCTATTTTATAAAGGACCCCGCCCGGTTCTTCTGGAAAATGGGGTCCCGGTCAAATTGGCCCAATTTTTGATATGATGTAGATTTTGACTCACTGATTAAAAGTCTCAATGGTCATCAGGCCAAATAATGAATAGTTTTGGAATTACAGCGGCTTTAATATCCAAAATTGACGCCGGACGACATCCGTCGTCCGGCGGTATAACGCGATGGTAGGCACTTGATATTTTGTGTGTTTCATCCTTCTCAGAGTCTTCATTCATACTTTTATGTGTTGCACACTTACACACCTATATACACGAATACATATCGTCCTCTAATCTTGTCTCTACCCAAACAGTGCGCGCGCGCGCGCGCGTGTGTGTGTGTATGCGCGTGTATGTATATTCCTGTATATAGGTGTGTAAGTGTGCAACACATAAAAGTATGAATGAAGACTCTGAGAAGGATGAAACACACAAAATATTAAGTGCCTACCATCGCGTTATACCGCCGAATGTCGTCCGGCGTCAATTTTGGATATTAAAGCCGCTGTAACTCCAAAACTATTCATTATTTGGCCTGATGACCATTGAGACTTTTAATCAGTGAGTCAAAATCTACATCATATCAAAAGTTGAGCCAATTTGACCGGGACCCCATTTTCCAGAAGAACCGGGCGGGATCCTTTTTACTTTTATTTCATTAATTTATATTTGTATTTTAGATAAATACAAGATTGAATTCAATACATTTACTAATGATATTATTTTAACATCAGATAGTGAAAACAAAGATTATTTTAAAAATAATGAGATCGGGCAAAAAATTATTGATATACATACTTTAAAGAGATATAATAAATAATCAATACATTCTAGTACTACAGATACACAAAGGAAAAAAGAAAATGCATTAGGATGATCGTTACTCAATGCGAAGAGTTATTGCAAATAATTGCACCTAGAATAACCCGGCAATATGTTGTTCGTAAGCTAATAGAGACAGAACAGCGATTAATAATATGTTTAAGGTAATGTGGTAAGTTAATTTATCTCTTATACCTATGTAGTTATAGCAACTGAGGTTTATAATAATTTTTAATATTTCAGATATTTAGCCAGTGGTGGTAGTATGATATCTTTGCCACACTAGTATTCAGTGAGTCAAACATTAGTCACGCAAATTATTCCTAAAACATGCAATTATTCTGCAATTTCTGGGCCTTTCTTTTACTTCTCTTGGGATTATATAGCCAGACTCTCTCCTCGAAATGAATTGTTCTAACTTTTCTATCATATCTGGCTTTCATTTGCGAAGACTTTAAAGCTATACGTTCCCTAACACAAAAACGAATTTCTTCTAATTTTTCCTTTAAATTATCCACAAAATTCTCTGAAGGCAATTTCTTTGTATCAAATTTAGAACTTTCTTGTAACAAGTTTACTGGTAGCCTAAGTTCTCGAGCGAATTCTACTCGGCAGGAGTCACTCTTGTAGTCTCATGTTTTAACGATCTATATGCCAAGAGAAACATAGGAATCTATTCATCCCAATGTTTTTGATTTTCAGAAATGTATTTCGCCAAGTAATTGATAATTGTCTGATGTTGAAGTTCCACCTGGCCATCTGATTGAGGATGAAGAGCAGTAGTCCTTGTCTTTTTGATTTCAAGAAGTCGCATTAATTCTCCAAATAACTGAGACTCGAAATTCTTTCCTTGATCTGTGTGAATTTCAATAGGCACTCCATGCCTTGAAAGAAACTGACTCACAAAAATTCAGCCACAGTCTTGGCTCTAATATTTTTGACAGGGAAATCTTCCACCCATTTTGTGAAACAATCCACCATTACAAGAAGATACTTATTCCCTGACTTAGTCAACCGAAGAGGACTAAGGATATCCATTTGCCCCCTTTCTAATGGAGCTTCGACGTTATAAAAATGGGTACTTCCTTTTTCCGAAATATTTCTATCCAATTTGGAACGTTCTACACGGATTTTCTCAAGAGTTGGATAAATACTAATAAGAGGATTATAAATGCGAAGTTACAATTAATATTTTTGTTGCATTATATTTGCGTTAAAGTCTGAAGAGGATCTAAGTTGGGGTCGAAACGTAAATGTTTTTAATGGCGACTTTTAAGGAATTATATTTGACAACGTTGCAAGCTGTGCGCTTACGTCGCACTTCAGTTCATCATGTACGGTTTAGTATCAACTATTTAATATGTTTAAAAAAAAGAAAAATAATTCAAATATATATATATATATATATATGTATATATAAATGCAAAAAATATAAATAAAATATAGAAATCAGGCTTTAGGGAAAAATTCTTATGCAAAACGACATTACAAAGCACATTTATCGAATAGAGAGAAAATATGGATAATAGCGAAATGATAGAAGTGGTATTTTTAGATTTTAAAAGAGCGTTTGAAACAGTTAATAAAAAATTGTTATTAAGAAAGTTAGATAAATATGGAGTGGCAGGTACAGCGTATAAATGGTTTGTAACGTATCTAACTAATAGAAAACAACAAGTTAAGCTAGGAAGTACTATATCGATGATAAAAAATACAATTCACGGAGTTCCTCAGGGATCCGTGCTAGGATCACTGTTATTTATTTCGTATATAAATGATATTGTAAATAGTTAAGATATTGTTCATGTAAATTATTTGCGGATGACACAATAATATATGTAAATAATAGGGACTCGAGTAAAATTGAATGTAAAATAAACTATGATTTAACTAATATTGTAAAATTGCCAAATAGGAACTTTGTTTCATTGAGATAAAATATCTTTTAGAAACCGAGAACTCTGATAGAGTGAAGTCTTTACTTATTTTTATATTATTATATTTAATAGAAATATCTACATTCTTGTATTTGACTTACATTGTTTTATCTGTTTGCAGAATCACGAGCCGAATTACCTTAGCTGAGAGTGTATCGCTTGTGATGTTATCTCTCTAAGGGGTTATCTCTAGTCAGGAAGCCGAAAAATAGGTGATTTTTGAGAATTTTTTTGCATTAACTATAAGTCTTGTTTCAAATTGGGTTGGTCTATGTGAGAGAATATATTTTTATGAATGTAACATAATTTTTTAAATAAAAAATATTAATAATTAAAAAAGATACGGCCATCCTCTTGAAGGCCCTTTCAAAAAACTGGTTTTGCGGTGTCCACTGCTGCTCGAATCTGGATTATCTGAAATCAAAAAACCAAAAAGATTCTGTTAGTATATGAATATATCTTGTTCGTAAACGAAGGAATTTTTGAAAAAATAATTTTCGACAAAATGGCGGCCGTTTTAACGAAAAACGTAATTTTTCGTTTTTCTTCAATAAAAAAAGGTTTTCATTAAAAAAAACCCTTCGTTCACGAACAAGCCCTAGATACACAGAATAAGTACGAAAAAGGTTTAGGTCGATTGCTTTAACGGTTCTCGAGATATTGTGGACACCGCACGGGACTTTTTAGAAAAATGTAATTTCGAGAAAAACGCGTTTAAAGTTTGCGGTCTAGTTATCAGTAGAGTATAATTTAATTTTTTTAACTTACACAGAATCATCGATTCCAGGCTCATAAAGTAAGCCTTCTGCTGCCGAAGCCACCTCCAAAGCATCAATTTTCTTTTGTCTACAATGCTTTCTGGCCTCTTGTGTATTTTCTTGCGCGTGGCGCTCGGCAATAGCGACGCGTCCCTCGTCTTTGTCTGCCACGAATGCATGGGCATTTGGGCCAGTAGAAACTCCCATCGCTTGCATTATTTGTAACAAAGCTTTTGAGCCTTCATTAAAAACACAAGCTGACACATATGCAGCTATTTCGATTGGTATTAAGCCGCCTGGAAGAATTTTTGGACTGATTTTCCAAATTAGTTGATTATAACTTTCGTTGTTATTTTGCGTAAATCCACCAACACATCGATCTAATAACTCTTGTTTACTCAAGTCCTTGTAAATTGGCTCGATAGCCGTTAAAACATCAGTCGGCAAAGCATCGTAGGTGTGTATAAAACTTTTTATTTATTGCTTCTGATTGTTTGGTAACTCTGCGTACGCGCGCTGCCATTCGCACCACGATTCCGCTCCCGCCGGGCAGAGGTCATGTTTCGGATTTTTGTTTGTTGAACTGTAGTGATTATATGTAGCCCAAATAGCTGTTTTCATATTCTCTGCTGAGTCATAATTTCTACGTATAGCTAGACCATAGTAATCCGTTAACTTATCGATCATTTTACCGGTTAGTTTGCCTTTGCCGCCGAGCCCTTTATTTTTATTTTTACACTCACGTAATCACGTGCCCATTCTTTTTTGGACGTGACCGATGCATTCTTTTTTATTTACAGTAATGTCTTCATAAGGCGCGGCATTTAAAATACTGGAGTATGTTTTTGAATCACCGTCTCCAATGTAGTTCTCGTACTTGACACCGTGCAGAGTTTCAGAACGCTTAAACATTTCAACAATCGCCTCGACCTCCATTTTACCGGATGATCCCACGTGATTCGACCTGCATTTGGCTTTATGATTTTCGAGCCATTCTTCATATTCAAAAGTATCTTGTTTTTTATCCCAAAATTCGCACATTTTACAATAAGCACTTTTTACCACGACATCGAGCACTTTACCGCTATGATAACCAATTATAGAAGAGACACCAAACAGAGATGTGAAACCTCGCTTTTTCCACGTTCCGTCCCCTGAAATAGTTAGTTTTGTATTATCTTGTCCAACGGTTTGCTCCATTTCTTCTTTAACAGCATTTTCAAAAAGCACATCACGAACAGTTTTGACGCACGAATGAATGTGCTTGATAATGATATCATAGGTGGTG